AAGGGTATACAAGGGAGTAAGGGGGGCAATGGGAGCACCTTAAGTGGGAAAACTATGGTGGAGCGGTGAGACAACGTGAGAGATAAATAATGCCTAGCTAGTTTTGAAAACCAGAGGAAACCATATTATTCCTACAACCTCTGATAAATTACGCACGCACGCACGCACACACACAAGGCTTTCTCATATTTTATAGTGATTAACATGTTTTTCCAGTTTGAAAAACAGTAAACAAATTATACTAAATTTATTTCAATACATTAATTTTAAATTACAGTAAGTTTTACTTAATTAAAATAAAATTTAAACAGCAGCGACTAGCATGTGAGGAATTAATTGTAAGCTTCTTTTCTTTATTCTGTCAGTCTTGTCATTCACATTCATACTTTCCACACAGCTGAGCAGGAGACGAGCAGGGTCATTGTGTATAGAACACATTTTGCAAGGTGGGTAACGTTATTTGAGAATATTTGTATGTAAAAAAAAATGAGAATATCTCTATGTAAAAATCATTATCCCATTAAATTGTATTTTAGAGTTCACAACATTATTATCTAAAACTCTCAAAATACCTATTTAGATGCCTGGAGTAAAATACCTACTAAGGCCATTTCTTCTTTTTATTTTATTTTGTTTTATTTTATTTTATTTTATTTTATTTTATTTTATTTTATTTTATTTTTTGTTCTTTTTGAGACAGGGTCTCCCTGTAGCCCCAGCTGTCCTAGAACTCACTTATGTAGATCAGGCTGGCCTTGAACTCACAGAGAACTGCCTGCCTCTGCCTCTCAAGTGCTGGGATTAAAGGCGTGTACCACCACACTCGGCTTTATTCATTCTTTTTAAACATTCAAAATATGCACATCAGCAAAAAGTCATTAAGACAGTTATAGTCCCGTGATAATACACATTATATAATACAGTTAAGTGATAATACCTTAACATTTTGCTATTTACTCTTTATTTTTTTCTAGTCATTTTCGTGCACGTATGTATGTTTGTGTGTGTTGTGCAATTTGATACACACATATCAAAATACTTATGAATGGGCTGCTACTTTAATATGCATATTCTCTAATGAATTGTTTTCTAGGGTACATGTTTTTAAGGTATGGTTCATAGTGCAGCAATGTTGAGGGGACTTTTGGAAAGTATTTGGATTATGAGGGCTCTGATGTGAACAGTGGCTTAGTCCACTGAATGACTTGTGTCTGTATAGAACACTGAGTGGAGAAAGGAGTGTGTTCTTACAGGTATATTTTCCTTGGCTAGTCTCTTTCTCCCCCACCTCATCCCCCATTCTGTCTCTTGCTTTCTTACTACTGTGACCTCAGTAAGAACTATTCCTCGCTCTTGCTGCTGTAGGTGTGGCACCATGTGACCATAGAATGAAAACCCTGGAACCATAAGCCAAGAAAAATCTCTCCTCTGCTAAGTTCATTTTCTTAAGTACTTTGTCACAGTGGTGGAAAGCTAACCATATGAAGATATTTTATAGCTTATTTTTACTTAATATATTATAAATATCTACCATGAATGGATTTAATGATGTTCTTGATGTCTACATAAGTAAGTATTCCTAATGTCTAGATAACTTTAATTATATATTAGTGAACATGTAGAATTCTTTGCTTTTTTCCATTTTAGTCAATGCAGTGGGATGAAGTATCTTTTTCAGCTGAATCTTTGACCATTTACACATGACTGTTTCTGGTATACATTCATCAATTTTGAAACATCAGATCAGAGGACTTTATATCTCTTTCAGGTTTTTGCTTCTTATTGCCAAATTGTTCTCCAGAAAATTGTATGACTTAAAAATAATGTAAGCATGTAAGTTTCAGTGCTCTTTCTTGAGTGATAAATTTGAGAACTCTTTGCTCAAGAGACTATAAAGAATATTAAATCCACATTAAAGAAGTTATGTTAAAGGAAATACATCACATATGTGTGACTGAGACTTCATATTATTAAACTTCTGAGTAGCTAGTTCCAATAAAATACTACTGGATTCTTAGTAGAAATTTGAGGGATTAATTACCCAGAACCAGACTAACAATAAATAAGCTTTGATTGTAATATTCAGAATATGTAGAATTTCCAGACTCTAAGGCCAAATATTCTGGGTGATTTTTAAAAATAATTTTTAGAAGTTGGTAAGAGCATAGTGTTAGCTCTCTTTAGAGTAGTGAGGAAATTCTTTGTCAAGCACACAGGTGACAACTGTGGACATTTGCTGCTTCTAGGGACTCAAGCTTCTTTCTCCCTTTTCAGAACTACATAGTAAATGTATTGCTATGCCACAGAACCAAGGAAATGTAGTGGTCCAAGGCCATGTTGAAATAAGACCATTGATCCAAACTGTTGTGGAGAAATGAACTCTCAGCACTAGCTTGTGTATTATTTAACCTGTGTTGAGTGGCATTAAAGTGGCCACATACTTTGGAGAAGCTTTTATTTCATGACTTCCATCTTTCTAATGCCCCCATTGATCAGGCTTCACGATAAATATACTTTGCTCATTCCTTTTCTTTAATAAGAACATGATTGTAGCTTAAAATGCAAATGACTGGTAATTGCTAAATGGTACTAATAATAAATATAATACACAGTTAAAATATGACACAAAGCATAATTTACTCCAAATTTTATTTTATGATAGAAGAAAATTGCCACTAGAAAGCCAGTAAATCTTTTAGAGATCGCCAATTTAAAATTGATAGTCAGAAGCTGTAAGTGATGGAAAGCTGTAAGAATAAATAAATAACGAATATATTAAATAATATGTCCCTGGAAAACATGTTATAGCAGTAGAGAAATGAGATACAGAAACAGAAACAACCCAACAATGCATAACTTTTCTAGGCTCTCAGGCGTGGTCCTGGTTAAGAGCAGTAATTACTCTGCTGTGCATTGGTAAATGTTAAAGACATCTTGATAAATCTGCTGTTGACTTTTGAATGTGAGTATAGCTACAAATAAAAATATCCTGCTTCTGTAAATTAGGTTAGGATTCATGATATTATTTGCTTTTTAAGTCATGACCCCCCCCAATTCTCTTAATGTGCTGCCTGTGAGAATTAAGTTAAAAACATAATTCCAGTTTGTGAGGCAAGTTGAGTACCAAGAAGCAGAAGGAAACAGTAACAGGAATTACTATTTATATAGTATGTATATTCTGTGCTTGAGTGCGCTAGAGTCGTAGAAAAAGCCATCACACAAAAGCTTGGAACCACAGGGGACTACTCTAGTGGGAATTACTCAGATTTGAAGTTTATTGACAGTGGTACAAGTTATTATGATTTAAGGGAAGAATACACAAGGTTGAGTCTGCATGTTAGGAAGAGAGGGCCAAATGTAATAACCCTTGCAAAAATGGGCTCTGGAACATGGCACCTAATATATTGTTGTTGAATTTACATCCTAGGGGAAAAATGATTATATGATAAACTTTGTGTTGTACTTTCAAGCGTGATAAAAAGGTGTCTATGAATTTATGATTCATGTATATTAAAATCTGTTATTATGTAAGGACAGTGGTTTGTCTTTCTGGAGAGCTTATTAATATTAGTTCAATGCTGACATCATATTGTAAGTAGTCACTGTACGACCTTTACCCACAGTGAAAAATCTGTGTAAGTGCTCTGAAGGTAGGATTTGTCATTTACCTCCCCGTGTTTCATAACGAGTTTATTTAGTGAAAGACACTTCAAGCTTGCTTTTGTCCAGCCTTAGATAGATCATGGAGGCCAGTGCAGAACTGGAGTCAGTAGTAGTGTTAATCTGCTGGCAGCCTAGAGAGGGAAACTACATTGAATCTACTACATACTGGAATTAGCCTTAGAAAAGTCAAGCATTAAGACCCACGAGGTAGCTCAGTGGGTAAAGGCATTTGAGGCTAAGCCTGGACCTGAATTTGAGCCCTAGAAAACTTACATGTTGTAACTGACTCTCACAAGTTGTCTGCTTACTTTCACTTCACACCCTCGCACGAATGTGCCTCTACAGAGAGAGAGAGAGAGAGAGAGAGAGAGAGAGAGAGAGAGAGAGAATAAATAATAAAGAACAGTTGAGCATTAGCCATCATATCAACTCTACAAATTTTATTTTATTTTTATGTGTACGATTGTTCTGTCTGCATGTATGTAAGGGCACCATGTAGATGCAATGCCTCCGTAGGTCAGAATACAGTGTTGGATCTCCTTGAACCAGAATTATGTATAGTTGCGAGCTGTCATGTGGGTGCTAAGAACTAAACCTAGGTCCTCTGCAAGAGTAGCTAGTAGTCTTAACACTGAGCCATCTCTCCAGCCCCTGCAGAGTATCCTTATCCCATGAATCGAAGTTCAACGTGGTTAATAAATTCCAAAAGGTATATGTGCTGAATAAATAGCAATCTTGGTATTTGAAGTCAGAAGTTATTTCATTTTCCTACAATAATATTCTGGTTGGGGGAAAAAGAAAGTTATACCCTCTATGTATATCAAACTAATAAAATACTTCTTTTGTTTGTTTTATATGTTTTATTGAATTTTTGTGTATTTCATACATAAAATCATCTTTATACTCCCTTCCCCTTTGGCACCCTCCCCCACCCCCACCCCCCTGTCTCCATTGGAGTTCATACAAATGACAGAATGTTTGTTTTATATTATAAAAACTTGCAATTTGGTAAGATCAGAGTAATTTTAGAAAGGGATCTGAATTTGAAACAGATCCTGCCTAGTCTACTGTATGACTTCAAGTCAGTCATGGTACATGAATTTTCTGATTTGAAAATAGGAATAATTACAGGTTGATGGGGGGAATACAATGAATATGTGGCCAGTTTGAACAATGTTAGTAAGAAATGTATTCACATACTTGCTTGACCTTCTATGGCTTTGTTCCCTTAGGCATTTTTGAATTTCATACGTACATAGAATGGTATCCTTTTATTGTTATATGTTCCTCTTGATTTGTAGATTTCTTTAGCTCTACTATTTGTAATGTCATTTCAGGTTCCTATATGATAGTGGACTCCTCACATCATGATCCTGGAGAAAAAGCTCGGCTTCAGTTGCCTACCATGAAGGAGAATGACACCCACTGCATTGATTTCAGTTACCTGTTATATAGCCAGAAAGGGCTGAATCCTGGCACTTTGAACATTCTAGTTAGGGTGAATAAAGGACCTCTTGCTAATCCAATTTGGAACGTGACTGGATTCACTGGAAGAGATTGGCTTCGGGCTGAGCTAGCAGTGAGCACCTTTTGGCCCAATGAATACCAGGTAATCATTTGAGATTTTCTGGTTCATGTTTTCATGTATCTGGTCTCCCTGTATGTATATTACATAGATGTCAATACTGGTGCCATAGTAGATGTGTTTCTCCGTCTTGTCTCCCCAATCCTCATTCTTGAGGACGAGTTCAAATACAGTGACACAGTGAAAAAAGGAAGATTCAGGCCCACAATTTGTCAGCTTGGCAAAGAGCTAATTATTTCTTATTCTGATTCATGTATTTCTATGTCTTTGTGCCAGGCTAAGTAGCCTTTTTTTGATTTGATTGTAATATTCAGATTGGATTGGTTTACTGATTTCTTGAAAATAACACTTGGAAAATAAACATAAAATAGTGTTTCATGAAATTTGCTATCTTGAGGTGGAGGCATTTTGATTATATTTTCATTAACTAAATGGAATATTAAAAATAAACAAAAATGACAGGTTGTCTATGATGTCTTTGGATGTTTTTTCTGGGAAATGTTTAATCTGATTGTGATTAAAAAACAGACAACGAATAGTGTTACTATTCACATTATGCTTATGTGTCTGAGTTCACATGTGTTAACAGCAAAGTTACCAGCTTCGAGACTTCCACAACATAGAGTGTCAGTATCAATGCCTGGAAATACAACATGAACTCACTGCTTTTGTAAGAACTCACTGCTTGTGTTAGACATTGAGATTTAAGCCTTTTTAAAGACTTGCCTCTTTGTGGTTTATAATAGAACTAATGAAAGTGCATTTAAGTAAAAGCCTATTTCACAATATCCAGTTGCAATAATTCAATAATGATTTCATTTATATATTTCAAAAATGAACTGTTTCTTCATTTGTTTTTATTCCTAAAGTATAAAAAAGTAATACATTCCCTTACTTGGTGATCTTTCTAGTTTCTTCAGTGTTGTCATTTGCATGGTGCCATAGCTAAGGATCTCATTTTCAGGTTATGTGTCTGTTGAGGTTTTGATGGCTTTCATTAGGTCCTATTGGATTCCATTATTCCTGAACAGAAAGATGTTTCTGTTTACTTTAGGAGAGCCATGTGCTTTTTCAGTATAGCATCAGAAGGGTACCAGAGGTGGTAGAGCATGTGTGTGTGTGCCTGCATACATGTATGCATGTACATGTGTGTGATGCTTACATGGGAGGAGTAGTCGCAAACTAGTTACCTTGTCTGTGACTTTGGTGGGTTGATGACTGTCAATCACCAGAGTACCATGTATTATCAGTATACTGACTGCATGAGAATCTATCATGGAGCTTAACACAGCTCTAGGAAGAAGCAGCTTGGATATAGCCCTGTAAAACTGCCAACAAATGCCCCCTTTGTAAAACACATTAAAGCCCAAGATAATAAGCTAATCTAACAAAATTGTACAAGTGTGAGCTCTGGAGTCAGATTGCTTGTATTCAACCGCTTCCTATTTATGACTTGTATAAGTAGTTTTTTCAAGGAATAAAAGTGTTATTTGTTATTCCTAAAAAGCAAATAGATTTGAATAAATGCAACAGATAACATATGGCATTTTCCCCCTTCTTAACCAAGAAATTATATTCATATTATGTTTCCCTGTTTTTATAAGGTGTATTTTGACTCATTATTAATAAAATTTTCTTATAGCACAGATTATTGCAGTATTAGTTATCACAAGCTCAGTGAGTGGTTCTTTGCTGAGTCTCATTTTATATGACAAAATGCTCTTGGTTACACATGTCCATGATATATTAAGCCACCAAGGCAAAAAGAGCTCTGTGTGAGCTTCAACTGGACTGTAAGATACTCTTGGAGATGTCATGTGGAAGAAAAAAAATGGATGAAATGGCTGGAATCCATGTGCAAATATTTCAAGGGATTTATTTTGCCTCTCTCTTTCTTATCCTCTAAAATTTAATCAATAAGAGAATAGCAGGTTAGGTTATTCATGTGTTTAGTTCTCAATAAATTCCTTGCCTGGTCATTTTATCATTACTGTCATTTAGATACCTACTCGTGCCTGTTTATCAATTATTATAAACACTCATTATAATATTCAGTATTTATATTTCATTAGAATTTTAAATGAATATTTATGTGAATGAATGTTTACTTGCATATACATAAGGATGTGTATTATATACATGCAGAGGCTTGAAGAGGACATTAAATTCCCTGGAACTGGAGTCATAGATGGTTTTGAGCAGCCGTGTGGGGGCTTACAGTTAAACTTGGGCCCTTTGAAAAAGTAGCCAGTGCTTTTGATCACTGAGGTCTTTCTCCAGACCCTTGTATAGCATTTTTATTTATTTAT